GTTGATCCATTTGGAAATATCTGTCAAATGTTAAATATCTGACATTTCTTGGACAGTCTTCTGGCCAAGAAATCCTATATCTAGGTATTTAACCTAAGGAAATAGTAACACAAATGCAAGATAAGTGAGTACTAAGGTGTTTATTATACTATTGCTCTTCTAATGCAAAGGTCCATTAATAAGGGATTGGTTAAATAAAGGATGATACAGCTATACAATAGAATTCCAGGGAGTCATTAAATATAATTAGATAGATCTATATGCACTGACTATAAAAATGTTCAAAATATATTAAGTTTTTAAAAAATAAACAAATCAAGATACAGAACAGAATGTTATCATTTATGTTATGTTTACATATATGTGTGTATAGAGGGACTTACATATTTGAATGTTTTTTGCAATGAGCAGTTGAGGCAGAGATGGCTAGCTGCCCACCCAAAATTCACAGTTCCTCTTCTAAACAGTAGCATTACCATCGGAAGGCAGCTGCCTGGCTGGAAACTCCATCTCCCACTCAACCCCCTAACCTCCAGCTATGGCCATGTGACTAGTGAATGCCAATTGGAAAAGAGCAAAAATGATGAGCTGGAGTATTTCAGAAATAGGCTAGTCTTTACCACTATTTCACTTGCAGGCTGCAAGGTGACAACTCTGAGACTAGGGGATGGCAGACCCACAAGACAGAAGTAGGCAGGGTCCCTCAAACAATCTGACCAAAGACATTGTATTGAAGTGTATTAATCTAATGAAATTCAGGAGTTGTTACAGCAGTCAGTGTTACCTGAATCTAAGGCATGTATTCATTTTAATATTTTAATTACATTTAAATTTTTTTTTTTAAAAGGAGGGAGATAGTGAAAAAGCAAACCAACTGCTGGGTCTCCCTGACCCCCAACCAATAAATAAAATACGGGTCTTGATTAGCATATATTTTAATCAGTGTGTCATCTCTTGAGTTTCATTCCCTTATCCTCAAGAAATCAGTATTATACCAAGAAGACGACCGATAGTGTCCCATGAATGTAAGATTGCAGTAATGTCAGAAAGGCCATTTAGACACTCATAAAACTTGCATTAAGATACTCAAACTTTTGTTGTTGTCTTGAATCACAGAATAAAATGACCGACAGCCAAAGCATTAGGCAAACATTTGATAATCCTTTAATAGTGGGGGAAAAAAGAAAAGCAACAAATACGTAATGCTGTAAGTTTAGGAGTCAGGAATTTTTCATATTTATCTTTCAGATTACTTCCTTGCCTCACTATTAACAAAACTGTAAAGCTCTTATGATTTAACTTGAGTAAAATTAGGGCCATAATTTACACTTGAATTCAAGCCCTGTAAGGATCTGTGTGCACGCACAGGTGAGCATCTGTGTGTTTTAAGAATGAATGAAAAGCTAAACCTGATTAACAAGCTATTCTTTCTTAAGGAGCAAATACATAGTAGCCCTTGTCTTTGATAATACAGTATTTTTATTATATACTATACAAGTATATGTGGTAGAATATAGTATAAACATGAATTATATCTCAACCAGAAAGTATACTGCAACAATGATGAATTTATTTTAAAAGCGTACCTCTCTATCCAGTAATTCCCCTCCCCTGAAGAAACAGCTTCCAAGTATAGATAAAGAGTAATGAAAGAGACAAACACATTAGCTTTAATCACCTTTCCTAGCCTGTGATCCAAGGGGGAATAAGTATATTATAAACATTTGCAAGTCAAAAAAAAAAAAAAGAAAACAAGGGGGGAATAGATGGGAGTGCATCAGTAAGTCCATCTATGAAAGAAGCAGTCTTAAAAACAGGTAGTTGCTTCAGCTCTTAAAGCATCTGTCTTACTGGCTCCCAAGTACATGTAAAGCATACTTGGAAATGCTGTTCCCTCTCATCCAGCCCACTGAAGGGAAGTGGTTTTCTTTTTTCTTAAATGATCAGTCTGTTTGTTATCAGCTCATGTGTCTAACATGAAGTCAGCATTTCAGATTTAACACTTTTCTTTACGAACATGAATTTCATAATCTTGTCATTTTCATTTTACAAAAGCAATGTACATTGGTTGTCTTTTTTAAAATAAAAACTACAATAACAATACAAAAAGTAAAACTCCTCACCATTCCTTCACCCCAAATTAAACAGTTATCTTATTGGTGTATGGTAGTCAGTACATACATATGTACGTATAGACATATATGCTTTTAAAATGGGTTCATACTTACATAATTCATCTTACAGACTGATTTTTTCATAATATTTGGTCATCCCTTTAATAATTTTTCAATAAATCACCTACAATATTGTTAACACCTAATTAATGCTTTAAATTTAAAAAGCCCTTTTAAACTCCTTAGCAAACTTTAGACAGTATTGTAAAGTAACTTTTTAAATGTGGGAAAAATTGGTTAGTTAAACTATTATTCTGCTGAGAATGAATAACAAAACATACATAAGGGAAACACATCATTGCTCTCACAGTACCTTTTTCTGCCATATATTCTAGCCTGATGCAACTTCCTAGGAAACGGTGGTAAGCCCTCATCTCTGCCTCTGTGATCCGCACGGAGGTGTAAGGTAAGTATCTAGGGTCTTGCTGCCCACACCTTGTACACCAGGAGGCCATTGGATTCCAGGATCGGTGCCCCTTTGCTCTCTCCCCCTTCCTCTCTCAGCACTGCACTTACATAAATGTGTTTAATCCTTTCTCCTGGCTAATCTCTCTGAAGTTCACTCAAGGACATGTTATTGCTGAGAGTTTATCCTTTGGATTGGCTAGTGTTCACAGGATTACAGGCCCAACAGATTACGAGATCTCCTTCTTGGGAAACTGGGGGATGAGGATGTCAGGTAGAGGGGGAAATCCTAAAGTTGATGAGAATCAGAATGCTTTTTCTTTTTTAGAGGAAATTACATCATGAGACATACATCAGGCCACTAGATACTTAAAATATAATAATAGACAGGGATACACTTTTTAAAAGATGCTCTTAAGAACATTCATTCTAGGTCACAATTCTCATTCCAGGGCACTTCTCACCTCTCTGTCTTTTCCAATCTCTCCAGGCTGCCAAGAATAAAATCTACACTGCCACAACTAGAAGTCACTACCTAGGCAGGCAATATACGTTGGCAGAGCAAATGGTAAGGTTACAGACCTTGAAATATTGATTGATTGATTGAATCCAGAACCTCATGCATGCTAAGCATGCACACTACTACTGAGCTATACCCACCCCACACACCCATATCTCATGAACTTCTAAAGAGCAGGTGCAAGTACAATATTGTGATTCTAAATAGGGAAAAGCGTGTTCAATACAAGAAGAGGATATCACACTCATTAACATATATGTACCTAATATAGGAGCACCTAAATATATAAAGTACCAACAAACATAAAGGGAGAAATTAACAATAATACAATAATAGTAGACAGCTTTAATACTCCACTCACATCAGTGGACAGATCATCTAGACAGTAAATCAATAAGGAAACAGTACTCTTAAATAGCACATTACAGCAGTTGGACTTAATAGGTATCTACAGAATATTTCACCCAAAACAGTAGAATACACATTCTTTTCAAGTGCACATGGAACATTTTTTCAGCATAGATCACATACTAGGCTACAAAACAGGATAGGTCTCAACAAATTTAAGAGACTATGAATTATATCAAGCATTTTTTCCAGCCACAATAGTATGAAACTAGAAATAAATTACAGGGAGAAAAATGGGAAAAACACAAACACATGGAGACTAAAAAAATGTGCTACTGGAAAACCAATGAGTCGATGAAGAAATCAAAGAGGAAATCAGAAAATATCTTGAGAGAAGTGAAAATAAAAACATAACTTTCCAAAATCTATGGGACACAGCAAAAGCAGTTCTATGAGGGAAGTTTATAGCAGACAGGTCTACCTCAAAAAGGAATTCGAAAAAGAAGAATAAAGCACTAAATCATCAGAAGGAAGGAAATAAAAAGATCAGAGAGAAAACAGAGATGAAGAAGAAGGAGGAGAAGGAAAAGGAGAAGGAAAAGAAGGAGAAAAAGATCAATGAGAACAAGAGCTGGGTTTTTGAAAAGATAAACAAAATTGATTAACTTTTAGCCAGGCACACAAAGAAGACAAGACAGAGGACCCAAGTAAACAAAATAAGATATGCAAGAGGAGAAATAATAATTGATATCACAGATCAAAAAATAAGGTAATACTATAAACAGGTATATGCCAACAAACTGGACAACACAACTTAAAAAGAAATAGACAAACTTATAGAAAAATACAACCTTCCAATACTGAATCAGGAAGAAACATAATCTGAGCAGACCAATCACTAGTAGTGAAACTGAATTAGTAATCAAAAAAGCTCTCATCAAACAAAAGCCCAGGACTGGACAGCTTCACAGGGGAATTCTACCAAGCATATAAAGAAGAGCTAACACCTATCCTTCTTGATCTATTCCAAAAAATTGAAGAGGAAGGAACACTTCCATATTCATTCTACAAGGCCATAATCACCCTGCAGAATGAACTGAAGCCATCCACCTGTCCCTACCTATCAGGACAAAATGAGAGATACTCTACAAGCTCAAGAAGGATTTGCATTATCCATAGCAGAAGATCACCAGGATTATTATTTTACCAGAAGTAACATCAAAGTCATATTAAAGGAAGAGATATCTTTTCCTTATATACACTAGACTTTGTTTTCTTTTGAAAAAAAAAGTCAGCACTCAAATGGCCAGGTGTATTTACTGAGAACACTAAACTGATTTTCCCCCAGAGTTGGCCTGGGGGTAAAGGGAGTAACAGGACTTTGTGGTGTTGCCACTACACTCCTACCAGTTATCCACGGGGCCACAATGTCTACAGACCCACTCAGCTCCCTGAGCTTCCCCTCTCATAGGGGAGCAGTGACACCTCATTCCCCATAGGTCAAGGAGGAGGGGCTTGCCACCTCTAATTACATACATGTGGAGGCGGCGGTGGGGGGTATAGTTCAGTGGTAGAGCACGTGGTTGGTGTGCATGAGGTCCTGGGTTCAATCCCCAGTGCCTCCATTAAAGAAAACATAAAAATAACACACACACACACACATACACACATGTGGAGGGACCTCTACAGGTAGTGTGTTAAATGGATATGTGGTTCCCATTGGAGAGTGGGACTGGAGTCAATGAGGGACAGAGAGACTTTAACTTTTAACTTCACATCCTTCTATACTATTTGTAATTTACACAAACATTATGGGTTATTTTCATTGGTAAAATAAAGATGTATTCATAAATATTTTTAAAATTATTTTATCTTTGTTACTCACTCCATATACATAGGTTTCAAAAGTTTCCAACATGCTCCTCAATAATATTTTTAGAATACTACCTGACATTTATAAACATAATTGACCACTATGGCAAAATGCTGATGGTTGTTGAAGCTAGGTGATGACTAAGGTCTGTAAGACTACCCTATTTTTGTGATTTCTTAAAATTTTCACAATTAAAAGCTACCCCCAACAGTTAGTGTAAAATGAGTAAGTTACAAAATGAGATAAGACAGTCTTCCTATTGCCTTCAGTGCACATAAGATGCATGTGTGGGGTGGAACCCCTAAACAGTGCATAATAACTTGGACATTATGATTGGGAATTTTTAATTATTTATGTTAAGCTAATATCAAAAATTACATAAAAATGTGGCTTTTAAAATAGAGGCCTTGAGCAGAAACAAGTATAAAACCCTACATGTACTATGACCCCAAAGCTAAACACATAATTCTTTTTAATAATACTTTTGAAATATTTAGCATCGTTTTGGATGCTCTGACTACACAAAAACATGAAATTGAAATAAAAGGTAAAACTACCAGAAACAAATGGCCAGAAGGAGTTATCACTATTCAGCTTTGACACGACCGTCAGTCATTATTTAGCAAATATTTACTGGGCATCTATGTGTTAAACACACACACACACACAAACACACACAAGAAAACTGTAAAAGTATCAGATTTCATGGTTTTAGAAAATAGCAGATTACAAAGTAAATATCCCCAATCAGTATTTTATACTCCAGCAATAACTGGTGAAAAGGTAAGAAAAAAAGATTACATTTACAATAGCAACAACAATAAAAAAAAAAACACAAGGTGCTAAGGAATAACCTTAAAAAGGACTGTGTTAGATCTATGTGAAAAGAACAAAAAACCTCAAATATAAAATATTTGAATGAGACATATTTCTAGAAGGAAAAAAATTTCAAATCTTAAAATGTTAATTCTTACCAACTTAAGTTATAGTCCTATAGAATTCTATTCAAAATTAAAGTAAACTTGTGGTGATGGAGATGATTAACAGGATAATTATATAGTTTATTTGAAAGAATTAAAAAGGCTAAAGGGTTCTATACAGCACAGGGAAATATTTCAATATTTTGCAGTAGCTTACAGTGAAAAAGAATATGAAAACAAATATATGTATATGACTGAAGTGCTGTACACCAGAAATTGACACAATATTGTAAACTGACTATACCTCAATTTTAAAGAAAGGCTAAAGGGTTAAGAAAATGTTTTTAAACAAAATGATTGATGGAAAAGGGAATATCTCCTAGAAGATATTTGAAGATATTAGGTAGCAATAATGATTCAAACTATGTGGAACTGTTATAAAAATAAACAGAAGAGTAAACAGAAAGACCCAGAAACAGACTATAAATCCTAAACTAACTTAATATGTGAAGGAGGCATCACCAATTAACAAAGGAATATCCCATAAAATGCTCCTGTGAAAATTTAGTCTCTTATCACAGACAAAAACATATAGAGATTTAAAATCAAATGTAAAAAAAATAAATAAATAAAACCATTAAAACACTAGAATAAAATTGATGATTATCTATTTGTTCTTTATTTAAGGGTATAAAAGCAATAGAAATCACAAAATAATAGATTTATAGATTTGTCTACACAAAATCTTAAAACCTTTATATATTAAGTCACCAAAAGTAAAATTATAAAATAAATAGCAAATTGAAAAAATTTTTTAAATCTGCTATAAAATTTACAAAAAAATTTTTTAAATCTGCTATAAAATTTACAAAATATATTTGACATAGAAAAAAACCTACACAAAAATGTCTTGGTCCCAAAGAACACATGAACAAATCATAGGGCAAAGTTCAAACAGCAAATAAAGTTTTTAAAAATCATTCTAGTTCACTAGTAATTTTTAAAATTCAGTTAAAATGAATACTATGCCATTTTTATCAAACAAACAAAAATTCAAATAATGTTACCAAAGAGGGCTAACAACACTGCAGGTATTGTGCGATGCACTTAACATGCATTACTGCAAAACCCTGTCATTTCCCCCATTTGACATACGAGGAAACAGATGATCACAATGCTGATAAAGAGATCAGGTGAAATCAAGAAACCCCACACACAAACATAATCTGTTGACAGGCCACTAAAATGGTGTAAGTTTTCTGGAAGGCAATTTGACCAATGTATTTTAAAACTTAATACTATACTCTTTGAGCTAATAACAACATTTTCTAGAACTCTATCCTTAATGAAACAGTTTGAAGTGTATGAAATGTATGCAAAGATTTCTGAACAAAGATGGTCCTTGCATTAAAAAAAATGACATTGAAAAACTGGAAACAACCTATACACCCAACATTAGGGGAATATTTAAATAAATTACAGTACATCTATGTAGTAAAAAATTATAAATCCATTAAATTATTGTTTATAAAAATGTTTTACAATATATGAAATTATAATTTAATTTATAATATAGTTTTAAAAACCATAATTATATATGTAATATGTATGCTATATATAAAGGGAGATAGATCATATCATTTTTTGATATGATTTTACTATGTAAAAATGCCAAAGAAAAGAAAACTAGGACATATGCTCAAAGGATAACTGATCGTGGCCAGGAGATGAAATTGCAGACTTTCTCTGTTGTACTTTTCTGTTTTTTCCAAATGTTAGACAATGAGCATATATTTTTTTCTGTATTTTTTGTTTTTTTAATTTTTTTTAAACAGATATACAGTATAATTCTCTTTTTGGTGTATAGTTCCCTGAGTTTTGATAAATGCACAGAGTCCTTTAACCATCCTCACAATCAGGACATAGAATAGTCCCATCATACCTTTATAGTCAAACCACCTCCTCCCCAAACTTAACCCGTGACAACCACTCCATCCCTATAGTTTTACCCTTTCCCTATGTCATACAAATGGAATCATTTAATATGTGCCTTTTGAGCCTTTCATCTTACGCTTAGCATATGCATTTCAGATTTATTCAAGTTGCCGTATCTATCAATAATTCATTTCTTTTTATTGTTGAATATTCCATCATACAAATGTGCCACAAATTGTTTATCCATTCCCCAGGTGAGGGACATTTGGGTTGTTTCCAGTTTTTAGTGATTAAGAATAAAGCTGCTGTTAACATTAACTACCTATTTTTGTGTGACCATATGTTTTCATTTCTCTTGGGGTAGGACTGCTGGGTTGCATAAGTGAATGTTTAACTTTATAAGAAACTGCCAACCATTTATTTATTTATTACTGCCAAAGTGGCTGTACCATTTTACACTCCCACCAACACTGTGTGAGATCCAGACCCTTCTCATTCTATGACTTGCTATTGTCATTTGTTTCATTTTATGTTTTTCATTGAAGTATAGCCGTTTACAATGTTGTGTCAATTTCTGGTGTACAGCATAATGTTTCAGTCATACATACACATATATATTCCTTTTCATATTCTTTTTCATTATAGGTTACTACAAGACATTGAATATAGTTCCCTGTGCTACACAGTAGAAACCTGTTGTTTATCTATTTTATATATAGTAGTTAGTCTCTGCAAATCTCAAACTCCCAACTTATCCCTTCCCACCCCCTTTATTCTCATTTTTTAACCACCCTAGTAAGTGAGCAATTTCCCCAATGATTACTGATGTTGAGCATATTTTCCTGTGCTTATTTTCCATCTGTATATCTTCTTTGGTAAAGTATCCATTCAATTTTTTTTGCCCATCTGTAAATTGGGTTGTTTGTTTTTTATTTATCATTGAGTTTGAGAGTTCTTTATGTAGTCTGGATAAAAGTCTTTCGTCAGATATGTGACTCGTAACTTTTTCCCCCAGTTAGTTGTCTTTTCATTCTCTCACAGTATTTTTTTGCAGAGAAAACATCTTTAATTTTAATGTAATCCAATTTATCAAATTTTTCCTCCATGAATCCTGTTTTTGGTGTCAACCTCAGGTCACAAAGATTTCCTCCTATGGTTTCTAACAGATTTCTAATAGGTTTTACATTTAGGTCCATGATCCACTTTGAGTTAATTTTTGTATAAGGGGTGAGGTATAGGTGAAGGTTTATTTTTTGAATATAGAGGCTCAATTGTCCCAGCAACTTTGCTGGAAATCGCCTTTACACTTTTCTCTACTGAATTACCTACACACCTTTGTCAAAAATCAATTGGCCGTATTTGTGTGGGACTATGTCTGTATTCTCTATTCTGGTCCACAGATATATGTATCTGTCCTTTTGCTAATACCACACTGCCTTGATTACTTTGCTTTGTAGAAATTCTTTTTGCCTATTATGGTACCTTTTAACTGAATATAAATTTTAAAATCAGCTGGTTGATTTCTACAAAAAACAAAATAACAAAAAAAACCTTGACAGACTTATGACTAGAGTTGTGTTTAATTATAGATCAATTTGGGGAGAACTGATATGATTGACTCTTCTAAATCTTAAACACAAGCCACATATTACTTTTATAAACAGAGTTTTTAAAGCCCTATGAAATACCATGTAATTTCTTCTGCTTCTTTTTTAGATTATACCACAAAGCCATAGAAAATGATGAACATGATCTTTCTTTTTAAAATCTGGCTTGGTCTTCCTAAGGCGCTGAAGGAGAAAATGCTCACGCCACACCTGAAGGGCAAACCAGGTTTGAGGAGTGGAATTTTCCTTCTCATTTCTGCACCATATGTCAAGGTCTAAATCCCATTTCA